GAGAATTCACCGGTGAATATACAGAACCACCCTAGGAAGCAGGACATATTACCAGAACTGCATTCGACTGTGTATATCATGTTGTAAGACTTGTAATAGTTTGAAATAATGACAACTTGCCTATAGTGAATATTTGATGATATATGAGATCTTCTTTGGGCTTGCCACTTAAAGGAACTTATATTTTGGTCATTTTCTGTTAAGTAATCCCTTCTCTGGATTATTGTTGGCCAGTAACTTCTCGTTTGGTTCCTTTAGGCCATCTTGGATAGGTTATATTTAAAATGGTCTTTTAGGTTATTTCTTTGGTGAATATTTTCTGGTCTTGTTTATGCTTCTCATCAACTCCAGACATTTTTACATCTGCATAGTACAACTATTTGGTCTAATTCTTACCATATAGAAGTGTTCTTATCAAATTAAGTGGTGATGAAGCTTCCTACCTTGGAATTTTCAGAATACACAATTAGATTTGTGATACCTGCAGTTGGGATTTTTTTGTTCAAAGTTCAGATTTGTCTATTTTACTCTGATCTCTCATTGCAGAATTTTTATTGCACACTTTTTCCCTTATTGATTGCAAAGGAAAATGGTGGAAAAGGATTTTTCCAAGGAGAAAGTATTCCATGAAAAATAAATGCAATCTTGAAATGGATATATGAGTTTCCTAGGAAATAAGATTAAAGAATCTTGTAATTTATGAATAAATAAGGGCAGTTTTTATCAAGGATACAATGAAGTATGACTTCTCAATTGGTTTGGACATGTTTTAAGAAGACCTATATATGTATAGGAAAGCATGTCAATTAGGATTAAGATTAGAGGTAGAACCAGGGTAGAGGTATTCTATTACCTTTATCAGAAATAATAACAAATTTGTTGCCTCGTAGTTTGACCTGTGATATTGCATTATAGCTCAAGTCGAAGCTCAATGAGGGGAAAGGATCGATATAGCCAACAACTATAGATGGCTGGGTCCTTGTGGCTCCTTGTTATATCTATCCCACCATTTCAGTTAAAAAATATTAGGAATTGATCCTTAAGGGCATGCATTGTCTACTTCATTCTATAAGTTGTTACTATAATAGTAATTACTAATTACATTTTAGTAAGTTTTATTGTTAAACATGCCAGAAAACTTGCTCTTCAAATGGTATCTTAAAGGAAGAAATCTGTCAGATGGCTATAAGACCACCATGTTTGATGAGCGTCCTCTTTAAAACGTGGGTTCACACATGCACCCACCAATAGTTTTTTCCATTCTTTTAAGTA